TGCTAAACAGAAAGGCTTACTGGGAAGTGTCACATGTCTGAATTTTAAATATTTTCACACTTTGTTAACCGAGTTGCGAGTGTAACATCTTCTGGCCCAATTCCCTCACACTGCGCAGTTTTTATTTTTGGACAGAGATGAGAACAATTAATTGAATTGAAACACATATTGATTACTGTTTTTCATGAACTCTGAACAGCTTGTCTCTGGATGATTTTACTGAGGAGTTTTTAAACAAGTGTTTTGGCTAGATTGGTTCCTTGTGACCTTCAGGCCATAAGCACCTGCCTGCAGGTGTGATGGTCTGTTTATTGGTGAGTTGGGTTGTTCACAAGAGCCAGGTCAGAATGGGAGATGCTACACCAACCTTCTTCACAGATAGGCCCTGACTGGGGCACCCCAATATCTCATTTAAACCCATGCAGGGCTTTAGAAGAGTCTGTAATGGCTTGATTTCCACATCTCTGGTGAGAACACTCAGCTCTTTGGACCCCATGTGAGCAGGAATGTTACTCAGTCCATTTAATGGCCATGTTATTCATCCAAGGACTATAGTGTTTCATGCAACACAGTGTTCCAGATTCAGGTTGCAAGGTTTTCAAATGTTTCTCAGATTGTTGCTTCTTATACTCTAATGGGCACAGAATCATCTGGACATTGTAAACACACAGACTCTGATTCCTTGGGTCCGGACTGCAGCCTGAGATTCTGCGTGTCTGATGTGGATCTGCTGAAGGCCTTTGATGTTACTGAACTCTGTGTACTACCTGCCCCTCTGGTAGGGCACTGATCACAGAAGTGCTTTCTGTATCTCCCACTCAGGTACACATCCCCAAAGATCTGAGGCCATGGCCTAATTCAGCCCAATACTTCCTGTCCCCGGGAAGGCAAGGATGGCTTCAGTGGCTCTGATAAGCACTCTGAGCCCCACTTCAGTGGGCAGGGAAAGAGGTCAAGGCTGCTCAAGAATCACGCTGTTTCACAGCCCTGGGCTGGCATTAGGGTCAGGGCCAGACTCTCATCCCCCGGAAAAGAGAGGCGCATGATCTAACAGTTCCTGGCTCCAGCGAGCTCATCAAGATAAGAACTCCTGACTGAAAGGAACCTGTCAAAGGCTGAATCAGTAGCAGGAAAGAAACAGGTGTGAAAAGGTTTTCACTTTTTCCACCAGGGTCAAGGTCTTCCAATGAACAGCCAAGAACTCACTGCGATATCATAGATGATGGAAATCTCCTTCCTTCCTGGCCCATTTCCCAGATGTCCCCAAGGTGCTTGTGCACCATAGCTCATTAGCCACACAACAGCCTGTGATCTTTTATGAATGTAAATCTGATTCTTTTATTCTTCTTTGAAATCCCCCCTAGGGCTTTCTATTCCCCTCAGGATAAAGCACAAACTCTAGATGCCCTGGCTAACCAGACCCTGCCTACCAACTTCCCACATGATCTCTGTCCTCCATGCTCATGTTCAGTCACTTTGACTGCCTTCCTTCTGGTCAAATGTGTCAAAGTCATTCCTACCCCAGGGCCTTTGCATAAGCTGTTTTTCTGCAAATGCTAACACTGCTTTGCCATTAAATACTCTGGCCACAGGCAAGATTTCAACAGTAGAGCACCTCCAAAATCAGGTATAAACCTCTGACTCTATGGTTTTGACATGGACTTATTTTTCTCTCTTCGTACTCAGCTGAAGGCTGGAATAGTCTGACACCTTCTTGTTACAAAGAGGGGACTGAAGCTCAGAGACAGAATGAGACATAATCAATGCCACTCATATTTTGGGGGATAGAACTGTCCAAGGAGAGAACCAGAGTTATGACTTGGACTCATGGAGAAGACTTTTGATCTTACCCTACTATACACCACTTGGACCTACTGGGTTGAACAATAATTACAGTATTTACACATCCTAACCCTCATTTACCCCAACCCCTTTTTTGTATATTGACTTTGCTGAGTCCTAGCTTGTTCATAGGAAGGTATAGACAATCCTGGATTTCTCTTCTGTTTGGGTCATCCTATTTTTCTTTGTCACAAAATATACTTTTTGAGGCCAGAAGAGGGTGATTTGTAATTTATAGATTTCTCCCTAGAAATTACAACCAGAAGCTAATTTAAAAAATTCAAATTCGTTTCATCTAATTAAATTTGTAAATTGCCTCATAAACAATTACTCTGTTGTAAATGTCTTTAAAAGCAAGGTATCCTGCTTACTATCTAGGGCAGGACTGGGTTGACCAGTGTTGAGGAGCCCCCCGATCTGTCTGCTCAGGATATATGCTCTCCTCAACTGTAGGAACTTCCTTAAGAATGCTGTCGTCTGGAGAAGTCCAGTGCTCCTCAAACTTGAATGCCCATGGGAATCGCCCAGGGACCTTGTTAAAATGGAGACTGATTCAGGAGATCTGGTGGGGCCTGAGATGCTGTATTTCTAACTGGCTCCCAGGAAATGCCGATGCTGCTGGCCTGTGAACCACACTGAGTAAAAAGCAAGACGTCGCACTTGAATTCAGGATCCATGAATTTGCCACCTTGGCTGTGTGACCTTAGTCTTTCCATATCGTCTCTCTGTTTCTCGATTTCCTCATTTTTTGTGTAATGATAAGAGCAAACATTTATCAATATTATTTCTAAATGCCAAACACAGCCCTAAATGTATATTTATGTTTCTGGTGAAATATAACTGAAAGATTACCTGATGTACCCAAGGTAAATGGCAGAGCTGGGCTTCAGAACTAGGCTGTCTGACCTCAAAAGTCAACATTTTTACCTTCTGAGGCCTTACTAGTTTGTGATACACATGCCCACAGCCATGTTTATCCTCAAAACACAATGGCCTAAGCCCATGACCTCCTTAGTTCTCTTTATAGCAACAGGTACAAATTTTGGCATATCCTGAAAGCTAGCCTCAGATGCTCACAACCAAGTGCAACGGCAGCAGCCTCACAGCTCGGGCTCTCTGCAGTCATAGCCCAGGTGCTTTGAAGGTGCTTTGCTCCAGCCAAGAAGCCCCTTTGAAGGTGTCTCACCATAGCTCCCTTGTAGAGCTCCTCACGGGAATGCCAACATTCCCATGTCCTTAAAAATCTTCAAGGCACTGGGTTCACATGAAAGTGAGAAGGGTGCCCACTTTCGTGACCAGAGGTCCAGAGAGGGCATCCTGCAATGAGGCCTCAACTTGAAGGAGCTATTGCTCAAGCAGGGTGTCTAACTCATAGCTATGTGCTCATCCTTGTTCACTCACGTAGGGTGTCTAACTCACAGCTGTGTGTGCACCCATGTTCACTCAAGCGGGGTGTCTAACCCACAGCTGTGTGTGCACCCATGTTCACTCAAGCGGGGTGTCTAACCCACAGCTGTGTGTGCACCCATGTTCACTCAAGCGGGGTGTCTAACCCACAGCTGTGTGTGCACCCATGTTCTCTCAAGCAGGGTGTCTAACCCACAGCTGTGTGTGCACCCATGTTCACTCAAGCAGGGTTTACCTTGTGTATGTCTGTGTGTGAAACTGTCGCTTCTACTTCACAAAGAACAGCATGTAGCTTTGAAATGGCTGACTCTTGTTTCAGGCAAGTTTCCAGTCCTTCTCTTCCCAGACAAGGATTTGAACACATCTGGGGCAAGGTGCTTCCATATTAGGGCACCTCACTTCCTCTACCAATGTCCCCAGGAAGAAAGCTTCTCCCAACCACGTGGCCGAGATGGAGATGTTAGCTCTTCTTCCAATGCTGTGTTTAGTGAGATAAGTCATTTTCTGAAGGTGTTTTCTTAAGCACTTTAACCAGGATGGAGCATTTTTCCTTCCCTCACAGAGGGCTGGGGTCCACCCAGGTCTCTCTAGAGAACTTCTGTGACCATCAGATTCATCCTGAGTATTTCTCCCTCATCACGAGCTCCTTGATTTTCCTCCCAAGAACTCATCCTCCCTTATGGGGAAATAGTCTTCCCCAAGCCTGCTCTCAATGGGTGTGTCTTTCTGTATGAGCACCCAGTGTCTTAAGTCCTTTCATGGGTCTGTAGTGCTTTTCGGCCTGGGGATGCTTGTGGCCTTCCCCTCTCAGACTCCCTAGAGGAACCCTGAAGCAGCCATTACCACTCCATTATATAGATGAGGAAACTGAGGCTGGCTTGGAGAGAAGAACCTGCCAAAAGTCACTGACACTATGGTAGAGCCACTAGGGTCCTAGATTCCATCATTCCGGCTTCCATGCCCTACCTTCTGCATCTAGGTGTTTCCTTACAGCAGCTGGTATCACAATCTCCTGATATCTCAGAATATATGGGGGTAGAGGCTGAGGAGGGTCAATCGTGTCCATATCCCAGTACTAGAATTTACCTATTTCAGCCCTATTGGATTTTTTTTGTGTTTCTTTGTTGTTGCTTTTCAACATACTTCAGTACAATGTGTCCTGGTTGTGCAAGTGTTCAGGAAGCCACATGTGTTGGCTTGATGTGTGCATGCCTGCCTGAGGACGTTAGCTTCAGCCCTGATATGGGAAGGCTCTGCTCATCCTATGGGGTGCCTTGTGACACCATCACCTGGGTGCCAGTCAATACGCCTTGGCCACAGAGCAACGTTAAAACTCAAAATTATGTACCTCCAGGGTACAGAATGACCCTGAGATTCTTTTGCAAGCCCAGGATGAGCACCCTATGGGTACTGCGGCTTTCCTGATGAGCTGTGTACTGTTTGCTGGGCCTGGGTCTCCTCAGCTATATCCCCAAGCCCTGACTCCCTCACACTGAAGAGATGGGGAATCGCTTCAGTGTGTGGTATGTGCAATTTGCTTTGTCATTGAGGCTGTCACCAAAGACGGCACAACCGCATGCCCTTGCTTTTTCTTCCCATCCTGTTGCCCAAAACCTTTTGGAAAGCCATGTCTCACTTACCTTCATGCACTTAATGGAGCTCTGCACTCAGTAATTATTCACCAACTCCAGGCTGAAGTAAATTAAATAGAGCCAAACCAAGTGATAGAGCAAAAGATGTGGTGTCCTTACCTCATAGAGTGTGATGACCCCATTGGTCTCATTGGGAGGCTTCCACTGGATGTAGATCTTCTCCTCAAAGGGCCCGCCTTGAATGGATTCCAGAGGAACAGCTCCTGGAACTGCAGGAGAGAAAAGTTAGGGCTTGATGTCACCTTCCAACTCAGTTCCCCAGTCCCACTGACCTGGAACAGGAACTGGCCAAGTATTCCTGTAAAGGGTCAGATAATAAATGTTTGAGGCTTTGGATTGGAGGTGGGGGGACCACAGTCTCTGTTACAACTACTCATCTTTGCACTTGTAGTTCAAAAACAGCTGCAGACAATCTGTAAATGAATAGGTGGAGATGCATTCCAAAATTCCAAAATAAAACTTTACTTCTAAAGACAGGCAATGAGCTGGTACTGATCTGTGGGCTCTAGTTTGCTAAGCTTTCTCCTGGGAGGTCAATGGCTCTTCACCTGCAAACTGAGCAAGTCTGTTCTCAAGCTAAAGCTGGTCAGGGTACGGAGGACATCAGCAGGCACCAGCCCCTGCCAGCAGGACGGATTCTGGAAGTAGATTCTTGCCTTAGGATTGGTGTTTGAGGAATGCCAAGTGAGCCACACTCTCATTTTCCTAACCCTATCAAGTTCTCGCCAAGCAAGTGCTTCCTCAGTTTCCTAATTCCCGAATCCAACAGGAACTATGTGCCTTGAAACCTCAATCCAATCAGCAGAAGCACATCTCGCTGCAAGACAGCAGCTTGTTTGTCTCACTGCTGAGTCTGAATCAATGTCTGGCACATGGTAGATGTTTCATAACCATTTGCCTGCTGGATGAGAGGTGAATAAGGGATTCATGTTAGCATTTTGCCCTAATGAGCAGAACCTTTCCTGGGCTGCTTCTGTGCCCATGTCATCTCCCGCCAGCACCCTCCTGCTAGACTCCACCATCATTATTAGGACAGTCTGGAAGATGCCGAACCATAAAATAAATGATTCTGCAAACTTCCAGTTATAATCCCTAGGGGAATCATCAATTCATGTAAATCATTACTGGACTTATTTGTATTTTGACATTATAAAAGCAGGTACTTTTACTAAGCACTTACTCTAGGATCAGAATTTTACATACTTTATTTTATTGAAGCCACAAAACAGCTCTGCCCAGTAGGCATATCTCCTTTGTGCTGATAAGGGAACTGAGGCTGAGAGAATTAAGTAACTTGCTCAAGGTCATACAACTCTTAAGTTGTAAAGAGGGACTGAACACCTGCCTGTGAGCTGCAAAGCATATACTCTTAATTATCATGCTATGTCTCTCTAGATATAGCCTTGGCCATATGCTGCAATCAGTTCCCTGTTGTCAAATTAAAATACATTTATTTTTTCTCACTATGCACATGATACAAAGAATTTGTTGAATATTAAGAATATACAAAAAGGTTCAAAAATCATTCACAATCCCTTAACTGGAGATTTTTTTCCAGAATTTTTATGCCTGTGCATATACATATTTCATGTTTAAAAATTCAACTCCCACTGTGCATATTATACGGTGACCTTTTATTGCAAAACAGATCACAGAGTTTTTATAAAAAATCCTTCAAAGTTTTTTGGGGCCATGCATCTTAATGCTCCATTATTGTGACTGATCCTCTATTATGGGGTATAAAATTCTGTTTGAATTCTTTATGATTATAAATAACACTGAAATGAGCATTCTTATCAGTAAGCAATGACACACAACTCTGCTGATGTCCCTAAGATAAATTCTTAGCAATTAGTTTATTGGGCCAAAGTAGAGGAACTATTTTATATTTAAGGCTCTTGGACACATATTACCAGATTGCTTTCCAGAGTTTGTTAGCATTCTGAGTTCCCCAACAGAAGATTATGCATTTCCTGTCCTTGCCAACACTGGCTATTTAAAAAATTAAGTGTATGTATGTATGTGTATCTTTTCCGGAATACTGGAGAGTGAAGATTTTTCCCCTCCAGTTTAACTGGCCGTTTGCATGGATTCTTTTATAAACATGTTCTCTATACTCCATGCTCATTTTCCTGTATGGCTCTTCTTTTTTGTTCATCGTTATCTTAGGGGCTTGTAATTATAATCTGCTTTTAAGGATATAAGCTCTTCCGCATAGGTTACAAATACTTCTGTCAGTTTTTCATTTGCTTTTTAAATCCTGTAGGTGTGTAGAAGCTTCTAAGTAGTCTGATCTCTTATTGCTTTTCCTTATCCATTCATCTTTTCCACAAATATTTATTGACTACTTAATATGACCAAGGGACTGTGATGGACTCTAGGGATATACCCATGACAAAGACAGAGATAACCTAAGGCTTGATAAAGCTTGTATTCTGGGAAGGGAGACAGACATTAAATAAATAATGACACTCACAATTATTTTTTAAAAATTGTTATCAAGACTTTGAAGTACAGGCACAAGGTACTGGGAGAATTTTAACAAGCAGAGAAAAATCTAGTCTGGCAAATCAGGGTAGTAAGTAGAAAATAAGTTAGACTCAATGGATAAGTAGAAGTTACGGATAAGTAGGGCAAAGAGGGAGGGTGAATGATGGAGTGTGGTGGAGAGTTTTGCAAGGGCAAGAGCAGAGGTGAAAATCCATCCCTGGGGAGAAGAGATGGTAATTTGGAGCAGGGTGATGGCAGTGTGGATGGGAAGCAGACTGTTTGGGAGATCTGGGAGTGCTAATCAACTGTGATTTGGTGGTGATGGATAAGGAGGAAGGAGGGAAGAGACTCCAGCTCTTCTCTTTTATACCCGTGCAGTGGGTCAGGGACAGGGAGCCTCAGAGGAGGGCTCGTTTTGGAAGGATGCTGTGCACTCGGATGGTCACACTTCATTTGAGGGGTATGTAGGACACTGAAGTGGTAATGTTGAGTAGGAGTTGGATATACAAGACGGGCCAGTAATAACAAAATGAAACCATGGCAGGGAATAGATCTCGTGGCAAGAATGCAAAAAGGGACACCAAAAGCAGGTGTAGGACTAAGCCCAGAGGAACTCCAACCGTAACAATTAGGAAAAAGCAAAGACACTGAGAAACTGAGGTGGAGGGCTGTGTACAGAGAGGCAAGGGGAACAGCAAGAAGGCAAGCTGTCGATGTAGAAGCCAAGGGAGGACCAAGAAGGGACTGGGTAACAGTGACAAATACGGCTGGATGGTCAACTAAAATGTGACCTTCAATTTGCCCACTGAATTTAGTGTCTTCCTGGCTACTTGTTTCCTGAGCATGTAAAATTTAGGGAGCACATTGAGGTCACAAGCCATCCTGCAGTGGGTGGAGAAGAGAGTGGAAGGCAGGGGATTGTCCTGAGACAGGTGAGCCCGTGATGGCTGTGAGTGGGCGGGGAATGCAAGACACAGCAGGGGTGAGATGCGGGGCCAGAGCAGGGGTCCCTCCCCAAGACGGGAGAGGTTGTGGCATGACTCAGGGCAACCATGGACAAATCCAAAACTGAAGTAAGAGGTAGAAGGTGGGAAAGGAAGAGGAAAGAGCTGACTTTGCTAGGGTCCTGGAGAGGTGGGAGCAGGGGGTGGGTGCAAAGAAAGTACTTTCCCTCCTGGAGATAAAAGATGAAAATGTGCACATGCTTTGGGGACGTGGGGTGAGGTGTCCAAATGGCTCTGAAGAAGAGAGGGTGAAAACAAAAGTGTGGTGGAAGGGGAGATTCTTTAAGATGTGGAAAGCAAGCTGAATGGGGTGATGCCGAGGCTACTGGTCAGGAAGGGTCTACCTGACGCAGGGTGTGGCCATGAACTCTAAGCCAGCAGCACTAGGTCACCTGGTCTCCTCCTTCAGTGCCAGTTTGCAGCAAATTCTCTTTCTCACCCCAGATCAGATAAACAGTCATCTGTATTGTCTTCTACTTATTTTATGATGTATTCCCATCTTTTTCTTTGTAAATCTGACATTTTAATCCATCCACAATCTATTTTATGTATCATACAAAGTAAAAATCTAACAATAGTTCTTTATAGTTTTCTTAGGACCACTGACTGATCAGAACTTTCCTCAGTGATTTCAAATACCATTTTATTAATATGTCAAATTATATCACATCTTGGCATATATTGTGTGGTTTTCTATTTCATTGAGTCATAGCTTCAACTCCGAAAGTACCTCTCTGTCGCACTGATATAACGTTTTAATATGCGATAGAAAAACTCCCTTGCTTTTATTATTATTCTTTTTGCAAAGTTTTCTGGACTCTCAGTACCCATTTATTCTTCTAGAAGAACTGAGGAGTAATTTGACAAATCTTCAGAAATGTCCCATCAGAATTTTTATTTCAGTTGCATTCTTTCTTTTCTGGGGGCAAATGGCACTTTTTATAATGAGTCAGAAAGCCTTCAGAAAGGGGACATTTTTGGTGTTTTGGGGGGGCAGCCTGAAGTATGTGAGCACTGTCCCTTCCTTTGCCTGGAGTGTCTGTTCTCAAAGAGCCTGTCATTAAATCCCTCCCCCATATGCACGTGTGGAATGAGAGCTTCCGTCTTCTGCCTGCAGACTGGCATATAAAGATGCCCACAACACTGAGGTCTCTCCATCCCCAACCCACACTCCCATCCACAGCTCCATAGCCCAACATTGCCTTCAGCCCTGGGCAGTCAGACTTTGAGGATATTAATGCCAGTGGACTTAAAGGCTTTTCTTCCTGTGCCCTGTGGTGGGGGGCAGGGGGTTCTTTCAATGAGGTCATTTTTCCCCATTTAGGTCCCCCTCCTCCAACACTGCCTCCCTTGCATTACTTCCTTTGGGTATGCGAATGGCTTCCTCTTATAGTTCTCAAGGCAAGTTTAATGGTACTTTTCTCCAAATTTCTTCAGGAAAGTAGTTTAAGAATGATCAGATCACCACTTTGAATCGAAAAGCTCATTTGTACCATGCATACGTACAAGGGGGTATTGCACAATGACTAAATTCGTGAGCTGAGCCCGACTGCCTGGGTTTTTGTCCTGTTCTTGCTACTTATTTGCTGTATAATCTGGGGAAAGCTGCTAACCTCTCTGTGCCTTCACTTCCTTGCTTTAAAGTGGAGGTACAATAGGTACCTAATTCATAGGCATTGTGGGAATTTGAAATATCAATACATGTAAAGTACTTA